AAGTGCTTTACCTGTAAACTAAGTCACCAGCCCTCAGTTTTTTATGATAAAAATAATTATGATTTTGGCTTCTTATTCAGCCACTATTTCCTATTAGTTGTTTGTTTCCAAACAGAATTTAAGAATTTTATAGATACACAGAGTGGCTGTAAAGACTGTGGATGTTTATTTCATATATTTATTACCTCTTCTCTTCCTCTGAGCATGCTCAAGTACTTCTATTGCCTCACATGATCTTTCATTAATTGCCCCCCCCCTTTTTAGAATAGCATCTATATGCTAAGCACTTGAATCCTCTCAGTAACATTTTGCTAAGGACAACACCGACACTAGCTTGTAAATCCCAGAAATGAGGTCACCTGGACCGGTTCTTTCACTATGCTGTTATTAATACCTGTAGTGGTGCTGTACTACATCATTCCTAAGTACATCTCTCCAGTTCAAATTCCAAAGAAATTATTGACCCATGTATTAATCAAAGATCAGGTTAAAATCTATTACTTTTTTGGCTTTTTAAAAAAAGATTTGGAGTAGAAATAGAAAGAGTACTTTGAACATTCACTTTATTATACTTTATATAATGTTTTTCATTTGTACTTTTCCCTTCTTGATAGTTATCTTTTTAGATGATTTTAATTTGCTGTTGCTTCTCAAAGAAACATAAACGAGTATTCTGTATTTCAGTAGGGTAGACTCTGTAATTTGGAATTTATCCAAGCAGGGCACTTGTTGTGAGTTAATTATTGAGTTGGAATTAAATATTTTTTACAAATTGGTATTTAGTAATATTTCAGATTAAGCATACTTATTCAAGCTTGCTCTTTAAAAAGTTAAGTCTCTTCTAAGAAAAAATAGTGAATTCTAACTTTTAATATGTTGAACTTAACTGGTTTCCTTTCTTTAAAAAAAAAGTTGTTTTTTTTTTAATTTAATTTTGTGCCTATGTGTGGTGCTGGGGATCGAACCCAGGGCATTGCCCATATAAGGCAAATGCTCTGCCACTGAGCTACATCCCTAGTTCTTGGCTGGTTTATTAGGCTGATGTATTCTTTACTTCAACATTTTGAAATCTTTTAAATTCTTTCTGAAAATACTAAAACTATGATTGTAAAAGTCTGAGCCATTTTTTCTTATGTTAATTGCAGTAATATACTGCTGCTTACTCAAGCATATCTCCCCACCACCACCCTGCAAAATTCCCTTCTATTAAGCCATACTTCAAGGCTTCACAGAAATCCCACCTCTCCCTGAAAGCTTTCTTTGCTGTCTCTATAGCGGCATAATTAAACTCTGCCTCCTCTCCTGTATAGAATCATTTTAACTATCCATTGTCAGACTCTCACATGTGTTATTTTCACTTGTATTTGTTTAAGTCCTCAAAGAGATAATGAATGGACTCTTCCCCCACCCCAGAGCCTTTAAGTGTAGTATGAACTTGGCAAGATTGTGTTGAGTTAAATAGATTTGAATGTTTTGAAGGAATCTTTTCCTATATTTTAAAAATAACCTTTCAAAATTAAGGCAGCTACCCATTTTTCCTACCACAAAATGAAGCACGTCAGTCACAAAAGCAGAATGCATTTTGATATTTGCCTGTGTATCATCTTTTGAGGGTTAGCTTCAGGAGGTTGGTAGGTCCGTGCTCCAAGAGAAAGGCTGAGAGTGCTAAATTTTCCATGGTGGAGTAGCATCAGATGTCTGCCATGTAGTGATCCAAAGTATGTAATTCCTACCAAATCAGTCAATGAATCTCCAACCCATGACATGCTTCATACTTGTGATAATATCTTTTGTAAAATTCAAGCTCCTCTTCAGATCCTCCTAAAACATCATTGCTAGTATTGGTAGAAAGAAAACTCTATGTAAAGTTTAAGCTATTTTAAAAGAACAATAGAAT